CTAGAAATTGTATCGGAGTTCCCGGCTGTCTAATGCAAGGCCGTTTTGCTGTTTATGATCATAAACATCCTAAATACCTTGGAAGAGAATTTAACCATGGACATTGCCTCAGTCACGTCTTTTTTTCTGGCTACGGTCCTGTTATGAAGTAACTACGGATTGTTGTACCCTCCCTCTCCCCCGTCTTTCTCCCTGGATGGAGTGCTTGTCCATCGAAGCAGGGTCACTTCAAACCGGCATTTTTTTTTTCTTTTCTATACTCATTCATTCTCATTGGTGGACATTATTTAGAGAAGGAAGGATTAAAAACCGCAACGAAGTTTCATCAAGGAAACGGCCGGGAAACGCTGAGCGCATTCGCCTCTTACGCTAATTACAGAACACGGCAACGTTTTTCAACATGACTGAAACTAAAATGGTTTGTGTCAGTCCGTGATGTTCGCCACATCCACAGACCGGATTCTATAAGTTCACAGCCAAATCTGCGGTAAAATGAGGGAAAGCTGACTCCATTTTGCGCGAAAATCACGAGATGTAAAATCATTAAAGACCGGCGAAACGCAGTTAAAGGCCTGTGTGTAAATGTTCTAGAGATAGCGGCATCTCAATACATCTTGAAAGCGTTTAAAACTGGTGTCTAAGACTTCTAACCGTTAATTTTTTTCGTAAAATTTCTTTCTCTAAGCAGGTTGTATTAGGCATTTAATTGGTGTGTTTGTAAAACTATTATTTAACAAGGGGTGAGACTTTTTATCCTCCAGTAGAAAATGTGACTGCCGCCTTTACGTAACAACTACATGTAATGTAACCACTTGCATTGCAACAGTAATTTGAACTCGTACTGCAACGCTATGTTAGCTCATGTTGGACTTCCAGAGTTCGCTTGCGCTTGTAGATCAAGACAGCCATAAATTTCGAGAAGGAACTACAAGAGATTACTACCAGGGTAGTCTAAATTGACAAAATTTTGTGCTCAAATCAGGGTAATTAAATAACGCTTTATGCCAGTTACTTGACGCAATTACAAACACAAAGAAGGACACTTCAATCTGCACGAAAAGGGCTTCAATCTAGAAATTCCTGGGATTTTCCATGTGAGCTATTTACGGCTCAAATCTAAGAACTGTTTGTTCAGATAATTTTAGGGCACACATTAAGGAAAAAACAAATAAACACAAAGTCATTACTGACCTGAAAGAATGCCAGTGTCGCCGGCGTGCCGAACTCGAAATGACCACAAAAAAATGAGTTTGCAAGCTGTTTTGCATCAATTATCAAACACTCTTTTGGAATTAGCGCCTGTAGAGGAACAGGCCGAGTTTTGTCGGTTAGCCGTGATGACACACACAGACGACAGCTGAAATGCCAAATATTCCGATATCATAATCCCTTTATCTGCTATTAGGATATTAGAGGTCAGCTCGCCCGTTCCGTTATGAAAAATAGCAATTTGGGATGCCAAATGGAGAACACAAAGGGTTCCAATTTTGTTTTCATTTTTATTTCTTGCCATTTGGCCAATATAGTCATGTTCTTTGCTTGTGCCTCAAATAACTGCTCTATCAAGACCCAGGATTCTATTCTGCCAGGGAAAATCTAAATTTGACGAAGTAGTTTTTGCTCAACACTGCTACAGAGGGCTAATTCATAACAAGCTGCGATGAAACCTCAAGGCAGATTGTACTTACAGATAACTCGATTATGAAAACATGGCAATAATTTCCTGAGTTCTTGGCCGAAAATAACTCCAAATAATGGTACAAATTGCAGTATAAACATCCCCTAATCCAAGCCAGTAACATTTGTGGTCCGTAATTATCACTAGATTGCTTCATTATACCACAAGCCGGAAAACTTCAAGCTTTCTCTCATTATGAAGTGCGCAATATGTCAAATTAAATGTTCGATTCAATTCAAAGAGAACCAGATTAAAACGACGCATTGTCCGCTTTTCAAACGCAAAGACAAAATCTTTCAGTTTGGACCAATAACGTGAAGCCCCTGTCTTTAAATTCGGCCGCATAATGAGCTTTATATCTTACTGATAATTAGGACGTTTATCAGAACGGAGCAGCCTCTTGAATGTGAAATTCAATTCTTGTTGTGACATAGAAGATAACGAGTAATAGCTCACGCTTCCAGACCGCGGTGCTTATATCAGAAAACGCGCAGTTGAAGGCGGTATCTCGGAAGCTGCTTCTGTAACTTCTCGTCGAAAATTACTTTGTCCTTGAGGGAAGCGCAAGGGTTGATTCGCAAATCCCCTCGTGTGCTGCAGGTACTTTACCACAGCGGAATATCTCCAAAACAGCGGCCAATAGTAGTGATCATCAACTTTTTGCGACCGACGGAGTTCCGTTTCTCGTCTGGCACAACCCCGACGCTTTTTTTTTCTGACGCAGGAAATTCATCGAAACTCACCGAAGGTAAGGAAAACATTGTTAATAGTCAGTCATCTAAAGTTATATTTACTCTGTTTAAAACCTATCGTGCAAGGCAAAAACATTAACTTCGATCACGAAATATCGGGTTTATTTATTGTGTTTATTGTTGACACTTTGTAGCGGTCGACTTCACTTATAGCGGACTATTTCTAACTACACTTATTGGTCACATAGCCACGAAATTCTATTATTAATTTAAGCACTAAAAATGAGTTTCTTCTTAAATATATGTGAACATAATTTTTCGTGATAATAAATTGACTTCGATTAACCAATGGGTACACGCTTAAGGAGGTTTATATTTTAGTCTCCACTCAAACAAAGCTGATATTTGTTGTCGTTGTAGGCCGTATAAACACGTTTATCTGTGTTCAAGCCAAGCCATGTTTTGTGTTAAAAAACACGTTTATAGATCAGTTTTATTAACTGTAACGTTTATTCTTCAAAAGTATATACTGATATAGATACCCCCGTTTATATTAGTATCAGGCTTTTGTACAGTGTGCAAGTTCTTTACGGGAATGGGGCATGAGGGGAAAGGGGGTTCCGAGGCGGGAAGGGGGGCACTTGAAGACTCGAAGCGGGGGTATCAACAGCTATATTCAACAACGATATAAATATGGAATGTATTTTTGTTGTTATTTTGTTTTTTGTGTCATGTTCAGAAGTTGTGACTGTAATCGCAAGCCTGCGCGATTTCATTAACAAGAATAGGTTGCGTANGAGATTGGAAGCTCGGCGACGTTTCTTCTGGGAGCGAGAACTCGCTTCTGGAGAGTTATACGCTTCAACAATCGTTTGCTTTACTGAACACTTCATGGGGCTGACTACGTTGTCTTCGGGTTATACAAAATTCTTCTTGGAAAATTTTAAATGAAATTTAAGGTTCATTCAGTCGAATTGCGACATAAAATGGATGTTCCGAGCTCGTATTCGGGATATTTGAGCTTGAAAACTAGCATCTTGAGGAATTTTCACCAAACAAAAAACTCGCGGAAAGCCTGCGTTGAAATTGCGTAACATTCGAGTGGTTTCCAGTGCTGAAGTCGTAAACATCGATGTTTTTCAATAGCCCTTTTCACGGTTACCTTTGCTCATTTGCATTACAATAAAATCTAGCATGTATGTGAGGCAATTTCGGGCTATTTTGTAGTGTTAGCCCGAAATTGCTTCGCATCCATGTTGGATTACATTGCAATGCAAATGAGGAAAATTAACCGTGAAAAGTGCTATTGGGTAACTCAGCAGTGTTCGTGCGTGCGCGAGCGTACTTATACTAGTTCCACAGCAATCTCGTTCCCAGGGTCTTCGTTCCCCTTGACCAGCGGTCGGAAAACGAGAGCTCTGGGAACAACCATTTCAGGCATGCGCCATAGATGCAGACTGCGCAGTGAAACCGGATAGGCAGAATCACCAGAATTCGGTTATTTCAAAATGGTTGCTCCCAGAGCTCTCGTTTTCCGACCGCTGGTCAAGGGAACGAAGACTCTGGGAACGAGATCGGTTCCACAGCAACATAACGAAGTCAGTCCCACGGACGTGTGTCAATTACTACAGGATTATTTTATGAGCGCGATGATCATACGTTGATTAACATTAACGTACACTTTTATCAAACTAAATAGGGTTATATTTCTAATGGAATGTCGAACTAGAAAGAATGATGACGGTACCGTAGCACATTTGTAACTACGATTTCGGTATTTTAGTAAATTTTATATGCGGTATTGCGGTTTTTTACGTTTTTTACGCGGTTTTGTGGTTTTCGGACCCCCCTTACGCCCCCCTCCTCTCTGTTATTTTAAAGACTGCATATGTGACAACCTTTGTAACTTTTTTTATGACAGATTGAATCCAGTCAGAGCGTTTTGAAACTGGCAGTTTACTTAAAAGAAAGCATTTTCCGTGTTTCCATCGAGTTAATTATGGAAAGGCGACGGGAACTTTGGGTGAAAAAGGGATTTCCCAAACTTGCACGAGTGTTTCACAGCATGTTCTATAACTCGCAATAGAAACACGGAGAAAATATTTTTTATTTCCTCTTAGAAAACTTGTACCCTGCGAGAAATTAAAATAAGGGAAAATCACTTATTTATTTCGATTTTAAAACGTAAACTCTTGTTGCTCGCGCCATCGTCAAGTCGTTAGTTCTGTGTTTTTATCGAGTTTCAGTATAAATCTACTGGCGTTCTATCACAAATGCCGTTCTCTGGTTGGCTGATGTACGCTACTCACTATCTATTCTGTTATAGATAGTGAGTAGCCCAGCCGAGTGCGTTTGTTAACAAAAAGACGGCCGCGTCTGTGTGTTTTCGACGTGTCTGTGAGGAGGATTTAGAAGAAGTTTTGAACGACAAGTAGATTTATACTAAAACAATGAGATTATTTGCTCTTGATTTCTATGGAGATAGCGGACTCAAGCTGCGCCCTCGTCAACTATCAGGCGACAGAAATCTCGAGTTCATAATCTATTTGTTAAGAAATAGCATTTTCTAACAACAACAACAACAACAACGAAAACGGGAATATATCAAATATTATATATTTATATTGCAGATGACGGATTTAACGGTGAAATGCACCAGTATTTTGACCCTGCAGCAGATATTCCTGCAATTGTCCTGGCTGTTTTAATTTTGACTGTCAATGGTTTGGTTTTACTTTTGATGGCAAAGAAAAAATATCTGCGTTCGATCACCAATTTGCTGCTGTGTAGCCTGGCTACGTCCGACCTACTCACAGGCCTGGTTGCCGTGCCGATGTTTATCACGTGTAATATTATCCGGCAGTCAGCGGTTTGTCTCGCGGAAGAAGAGATGTCACGCTTCATCTCCGTATCGATCGTGTGCCATCTGATGGCCGTTACTACCGATAGGTAGGTCTCAGGTTGTAATACAAATATATACTTGGACGGTTTGGTATGAGTAGAATCAAAGAGTTGCTGTGCGCGCTGAATATTAATCAAATTTATTATATGGCTGTGTCCCACAAGGACTGGGAACTACCGAATTCACGAATTTGATTGGCTGAAATCGATATTGACCGCGGTCTAGATTTACCCATCTAGACCGACATCTAGACCGGTCATTCATTTTGCGTTGAAAAAGTAGCAAACTAAAATACAAAAATGTTCACCATTTTCTTGTATTTTCTTCTCAATCATTTATGGAAGTGCCAAAAAGCCTGATGACAAAAAAATGTAAAGAGAACGAGCAAATTTCGGCAGGTTTGAGTTAAGCTCATCGCCGTTCGCAAGCAAAATGTCAGCAAACCAGTTACATTAAAAGAATTAAAGTTTTTTTCTTTGCCATATAATAAACATCTTATTAACTTAGCTAAGTCGGTCTGTATGGGAGAATCTTGACCTCGGTCGTGTGTACAGACCTCACTGCGTTCGGTCTGTACTCAACACCTCGGTCAAGATTCTCCCATACAGACCTCCAGCTCGGCTAATAAGAGCTAAATAACATGGCAGACGTCTGTTTTTTTGCGTTTTCTTCTACTTCAAACTTGTGGAGACAAGGTTCTTTTCGCTACCTGAATTTAAGAATAATTTTTCAGCTAAAAGCCATGTAACAATGAAGGAAATGCTACAGAAAAATCGTCATATGAGTGGAAAATCTAACGTATCCTCGCTATCATACTGCAAAAATACGAATTTGTATACTTCTTCTACACCGATATGTGAAATTCCAAAATTGTAAAGGTAAGGGGAAAATGACAAAACAACCGATGTGAACAATGTTTTGAGATAAAACGTGCAGCCTATGCAATCACCCCATAGCCTGAATTTGCGTTTTGATCAAGCATAAAAAATGTATAGAAACCAGTGAAGGAAACGTTTCTACGACTGAGAGATTTTTCCTTGTTGCTACACTGCAGTTAACGACCATGCACACGTACTTTTCACCCTAACTCTATAACTCTTTATTTCAGATACCTAGCCATCATTCATCCTCTCCACTATTCATCACTTGTGACAAAACCCAGGTGCATTCTGGTCATTGTGCTTATTTGGTTACTGTCAGCGGTTGCATCATTGGTGCAGTTGACCTGGCTCGCCCCAGTCACCCAAGACCCACACGATCCTAACTTCTCAGCCGACTTCATGAAGAAAGAGTTTATTTACGATATCATCTTTCTGACCTTGTTTTTCTTCCTCCCTGTTGCATTCATGTTTTACACCTACGTGAGGATCACCTTTGCAATCGCTCGACAGAGTCGCAATATTCGACTGCAGAACATCTCTGTGCCACATTCGGGAAGAATCAGAGGCCGGCATGAATGGAAAGCTGTAGGCATCTTTGCCGCCATGATGCTGGTGTACATCATTTGCTGGCTGCCATATGCTGGACTTCGGAGGTTCGATCTTAATAAGCTACCGATAACTTTAATTTATGTCATCTTTTATTTGAGGTATCTTGCATCATTACTGAACCCGTGCATGTACATCTTTGGCAAACAAGACTTCCGCAAAGCCATCTTCGAAAACATACCTGTACGTCCACTAGCACTGGAACTTAGTTTTACGTCGACTTCAAAGTCCGCCATTTTGAAGGCAACTTTAGCAACACCTGGTGGGAAAGTCCGCATGAAGTCCTTTGCCAGAGTTGGCAGCAGGAAAATAAGAAACAATTGTAGGACAGTAGCTTGAGTTGGTAAATATCTTGTGAGCCGATAGCCTAGCAGTCGTTAATAAGCGTTTTTATAAATAAAATAACTGAGATACTACGCGCCCTCTCATTGGTCGATAGGTGTGTTTAGATGAGAGTATATAAACACTGCTGTGACGTTTTAGATTCGCGCGTATTTTTGAGAAATATTTTGTAAAAGCAACAAAGCAATAAAGCAGTTAAGTGTTTACATAGCCTCATCTAAACACGAGGGGGATTGTCAGAATTCTCGACAATTACGCAAACCCTCGACGATGACTATCTCGAATTCTCCGAACCCCCCCCCCCCCTCGTGTTTAGAGGAGGCTATTTAAAGATGGAAAAAGTGCTCTGTTGCCGTACGATGCTTAAAAACAGCAATTATATGTTACCAATGTTCTCATAGGTTGAATCATGAGACTATGATCTAGTTTCTTGGTTAAATACAGTGATCGATAGCTCTGAGGAAGAGTGGCGGCCAGCGCAGAATGCGAAATGGCTAAGGGATTTAACTATGGAGACAACTTGTAGTATCTCTCAGGTTTTCTGGTCAATTTTTCTCTCCCATTTGATTTACTAGATCAGCGTTTATTTTCTCCTTGAGATATCAGTATATAAACATGAGAATACAGAGATTGATCACCAAGTGAAGGATGAATACATGTACTTTTGACAGTCAAATTTTCCTAACAGAGGTAAGATTCATTTGTATATATATAAAGCGTTACCCACAGAGTCCTTGAAGAAAAGTTGTATAAAAGGTGCTGTACTTAGAATTAAAGTTAACCATTGTGGTAATATCTCTCTTGAATTTATGCCAGAATATAATAACTGCAGTCCTTTATCAAAACGCGTTTGAAGCCAATACCTCGTGGTTTGCCTGGTGGAACTGAAACCCCCACCCTTCCCTCCCTCTGTCTTGTCAGAGGCACCCTACGACACTTTTCTCTCAAATGCTTTAAAACGCTGTTTCAGGCTACTTCAGTGTCTCGAGTGCTTTTAAAGCTCTGTGACTTGATGTTAATTGTAGGCCGCGCTATAAAATTCTAATATTAACTGTTCAGTCTTTCTGGGGTAGATTGAGTCGTCTCGAATTTATCTTGGTCCTCTTCCCGAAAAACCTTTATAAGTTAGCAGCTGTTGCCTTTCGGAAAATCGTTGTTGGATTTTTGTCGGTATTTTTCGGTACCCAAACGACATATTTATCCATCTGAAAACAATAGGCACTATAGTTTTCATACTGACGAAAGTTCGTGGTGACACTTCACTTTACTCACGTAAAAGTGAAGGGGATAAAGGGTCTTTAAATTGTAGGCTTCATTTCGTGTTCGATACATACTGAAGCTATCAAAGTAGCCTATAGATTACGCAGGCGCAATTCGACGTAATTCTCGCCAGGTGAGCGTATACGGTTTACCGCCATTATTGGAGCTGGCCATGATAACTTATAAGCAAAGCAGTAGCTCAGTTTTCTTTGCTGGCTTTTCAGTTGTACACAGTTTATAGCAAACAAATTCTTTTAATTGCAGCGAATCATTCTGACCCTCAGACGTTGCCGCCGAGATGTTTCAGTTTTGTGAATTAAATGTGTGTGTGTTAAGTTCTTGAATGAAAACAAGTTATTTGTCAAGAGTAGTTGGCCACTACACGAATATATAACTACCGAAATGATCCGTTGGGTGGCTCTATCTTGTTTGTCTTACCTTGTAGAGTTGCAAAGAGATGAAATAAAATGGGTAGATCACTATTTGACTGAAATTTAGAAGTTTAGTTTCGCTCGCAATTTCTCACTAAACGTTTAATCATTTCATTGAGATGTAAAGTTCATAAACATTTTTTTTTTAGAAGTGATCAACTTCTAGTTTCTCCTCACAGCTTGATATATTTTCAAGCAACTATGTGGTGAGAATACAGAATATATATCATCACTATAGGAGACACTTCTGTTGTTCCACCACCAAGCTCACAGAATTTGCATTAATTAAAGAGAGTGTTTTGTAAACAATATTTCCAACATGTACGGAATTTTAAGGCGTTTACTCCTAGAAAGACTGACAACCAAGCGCAATATTGATAATTACAGTATAAGCTGTAAAAGATCTTGATTACGTTCTTTCCTTAGGCTTCTTGGAGCCGTTCTTTTCTTTTAATTAATGTACTATCAAATGCAGATTTTTGTTACCCATTTTGTTTACTTAATTTGACATCGAACTGTTTTGCCAGCACTGAACTATGGCCTTTTGTCGTAGACTGAATCGTGGAACCATTCTAGCCAACCCAATATTGCTGCATTTGAGTTGAAGCTGTGGTTGCTTGCTGGCATTCTTCGCATTCCGGCGCCGATTTCTCTTTTCGTCTTAGCTGAAGCGTTACTTAAATCCCCCCCGGGAGGGGGG